GGTGAGCCGAGATCGTGCCATTGCACTCCAGCCTGGGTAACAAGAGCGAAACTTCATCTCAAAAAAAAAAAAAAGAAAGAAAATCTTGTCCTAGAACACCCTGGCTGGTTTGGTTACAGCTCGTGGCAGCTCTTCTCCCTTGGGTCATGTTCATCTCCCGGCACCTGCTGTGCACCTGGCTCTGGTGGGACGGCTGAGGATGGGGCCCCAGCACTGTCCAGGCCTGTTGGGGCCTGGCTGGGAGTCCTATGGGTGGCGTGGAGGTGCGGCTGGGCTTCCTGTCACCGGGCACCCTCTGGCATTATTGCTTGCCTTGTGCCCCAGCCCTTTCCTGCCCTCTTCCTTCCTCTGTTTCCTTGGGGCTACCCCTTGGGCCCTCCTGGTCTGTGCAAACTCCCTCAGGGAGCTTCCTTGCCCTGTAGCCCTCACTTGACTTCCTGGCGAGCTGTCGAGCCCATCCAGAGGTTGTTTGAGCTCAGTGGGGCAGCTTGTCTCCCTTGGCATCAGGGATATAAGGGTTGGGTTCAGCCATACAAGAGTGGCCAGGCCCTCAATCCCAGACTGTCCCAGGCACTGGGCTGGGCACCCAAGGACATGCTTTCCAGGCTGTGTGGTGACTGCCAGCACAGGGCATCTCGGGCTGGGCTAGGCTGCGAGGACTTGCGCCTGTGGAAGACAACTCTGGGTTCCTGTTTTCTCTTTTTGCGGGTTTGCTGTGGTTGGCAGCTGCCGTACTCCAGGCCTGTCGCGGCCACTCAGACAAGGGCTGTGGTACGAGCCAGGGTGGACGAGCTGGGCTTGGGTTTGTGCCCTCTCCTGTGTCTGTTCTCCAGACCTACCCAGGCCTCCACCATCAGGACCCCATCTTTGGGTTTCAAAGACCAAGGATGGGGAAGAGCAGGCACCAGCCTCTGCAGCAATGGCTGTGGACACCAGCTGGGGGAGCCAGGGTCAGGCCCTTCCTCTCCCGGTTCCCCTCTGCTGTGGCTTCTGGGCTATCATGTCCCCACCACTTAAGGGTGTCTTTACACTGACTTCAGGATAGATGCTGGGATGCCTGGGCACGGGACTGTCCCCACATGTTAACGTGTACAGAACTCTGTCTACAGCACAAATTAAGTTATGAAAACACAGTGACTGGTATTTAATGCTGATCTACGTTAGTATTTTATATGACTTAGAGATGCATATGTGATAAAGGACACCCTCCCTCCAGTGTCCACATCCAGTCCTGCCCCAGAGGGTTGGGCAGGTTGACGTATTTATTTTTGTCTCTTCTGTAGGCTTCCATGTCCAGAATCCTGCTTAGGGTTTTAGGGTGCCTTTGGTACCTTTTGCAATAAAAATATTTCCCATCCATTTGGGGTAATTCCCTTTGTCCTCCTGCTACTGTGCCTTCTGGGACTCCTTTGGGCTGAGGCCAGGTGTGGGAGGAGCTGGCGGCATGGTGGGCCCAGAGCCCTTCCAGGCCCTTTCTCATCTCAGATTGTTGCAAGCGATGAGGCAGTGGAAAAACTGGGTGTGGTGGCTCGCACCTGCAATTCCAGTGCTTTGGGAGGCTGAGGAGGGAGGATCACTTGAGCCCGGGGGTTCAAGACCAGACCAGCCTGGGCAATACAGGGAGACCTTGTCTCCATTTAAATGGAGAGGCCAAGAAGTAAAGGTGGAGCAAGGTGATGCAGGGGAAACCTGCCTGCTCCAAAGCTGGTCTCTGCCTGTTGGTCCTCTGTCTGGGCCTGGTGCTCGCAGCCCTTCCTGAGGATGTGGTACAGGTGGTGATGCGACTCCCATCTGCAAGGGGATGGACCTTGGACCTCGGGAGGTGGAGCCCTTCAAATACAGTCCCAAACCAGGCTGTGAATCCACACAAGCTGTCCAGCTCAGGACCTTTTTCCCATCTGCAGAGCCCATCTGAACCTGAGGGCGAAGCCGGTGTCTTGGCTGGGAAGGGGAGCAGTACTGAAGCCAGAGTGGGCCTTTTTTTTTTTTTTGAGACACGGTCTCATTCTGTCACGTAGGCTGGAGTGCAGTGGTGCAATCTCAGCTCACTGCAACCTTCACCTCCTGGGTTCAAGGGAATCTTATGCGTCAGCCTCCTGAGTAGCTGGGATTACAGACATGCACTACCACGCCCAGCAATTTTGTATTTTAAGTAGAGAAATGAAGTTGTCAGTAACTTGCCCAGAGCCAACTTAGTGGGAAGAAATTTAAACGTGAGAAATCATGCTCTAGGGCCTATGTGCATTTGCTCCTTGACACAGCACCCCATAGCTATAGAACCTGGGACCAGCAAACCCTAGACACTTAGACCAGGCTGCTCTTGAGGGAAGGGTCCCCTCTGGCCATGCCAGAGCCCAGGGCTTAGTCAAGAGCCCCACCTTCCTGAGGCCCCTAGGCGTGCTCAGCTACACTAACTGGGCCCAAGCCTTGATTCTGCCCAACAAGGCCAGCGTCTTGGGTCCCAACCACTCCACTCAACTCCAGAAGCTTGGTAATGAATTCTGTCCCCAGGGCTGGCATCACCTCAGCTCTACATTAGGAATAGTAGTGCTCTATCTGGCCAGCGTTCCCCACTCTAAAATCCTGCAATAATGAGGAACATGCATACAGATGTGGAGAGCAGCCAAGGCCAGAGGTTTGGCCCCCAAAGGAACCCTGTCCCAGCGTCGCTCAGCTGAGGTTTCCCAACAGAAGGGAAACCTGCCAGTTGAGCTGAGACCCACACAGGACCGGCAAGGCACCCCTCCGTCCTGAGGGCACGCATGGGAAAGCAGCCCTTCCCCAAATGCAGGACACTGGGGAACAGATTGTCAGGCTGAAATACACGAGATCAAAGCCACACGGTTTATTGAGGGGTGGGGCCACGTGGGCTCTGGTGGCCAGAGTGGGCTATGTGTCGCAGTCCTCGGGGACAGCAGCTGTGATGATGAGGGACGGCTCCAGGATGCCTGGTCCGGCAAAACTCTCCTCTGCACATAGTCTCTGGCCGGGGAGCTGGGAGGCCAGGCCACCCTGGGCCAGGGACTCCACAATGACCTCTGCCGAGCCCACCTCCAGCTCGGCAGGCGGCTGCAGCGCCACCACCACCATCTTCTCGTCCTCGATGATGAGGTTGCGGAGCTTGCGCTGCCGCGGGTTGTAGTTCTCCACCCGGTCGTGAATCTCCATGTGCCTCCGCAGGTGGGCCTGGTGGGGAGGGCGAGCTCAGGACTTTGGGGGATCCCGGGGGAGGGGAAGGAGCCCAGGGCCTGGCCTACCTGTCGGGTGAACTTGTAGCCGCACTCGGTGCACTCGAACTTCCTCACCCCCTTGTGCCGTCTGACGTGCACACGCAGCTGCTCCACGGCTGTGGGAGGGAGAACACAGAGCGGATAGTGCAGGAGCCCCGGGACCCTCGAGCAAACCCAGCAGGAGGTTGGGACAGGCAGCAAGGGAGGTGGCTGAACTGCTGGCGGGGGGGTTCTTTCTGCTGTACGTGGGCCAGTGGTTTAAAAGTGCTGCACAGGCCCTGCCAGGCTCTCCAGTGCCACCCAGAGTCACTACTGCACAGGACACCCTGCCTTCAGTCAAAGCAGGTCCACTTTCAACTCTTAACATGTAGTGCACAGAAGAGGTTCACTGGCAAGCAGGGAGTGTTTCCTCCTCAGAGACCCTCCAACTAGGGTGAGCAGGAAATGGATCCCCCAGGGTCACCCAGGTACCTTTGAAGGTCTTGCCGCAGATTTGGCAGAAGTGGGGCCGGCCCTCCTGGTGGCGGCTAGCCACGTGCCTCAGGAGGGGCCCCTTCTCAGTGAAGCGCTGCTCACAGAACTCGCAACTGAAAGGCCTTTCACCAGTGTGGGTACGGTTGTGCTTGTCCAGGCTGGCTGTGGGCACAAGGCAGGAGCTCAGCCTGCTTCGGCTTCGGGACTGGGTGGGGAGGGGCAGGACTGAGAGGGGACAGGCAGGACTGAGGGGTGGGGTGGGGTGGGGTGGGGTGGGGTGGGGCGGGGTGGATCTCACCTTGGGTGCGGAAGGTCTTGCCACAGAGGTGGCACTGGAAGGGCTTCTCGCCCGTGTGTGTGCGCAGGTGCATGTTGAGATTGGCCTTTTGGGTGAAGGCATGGCTGCAGAACTCACACACATGTGGCCTCTCATTCCTGTTAGGGTGGGGACATGGGGCAGAGGCCATCACCAAAAGAAGTGGCCCCTTTGCTCTGCTACAGCTAGGAACATGACTGGTGGAAAAAAGGGTTTGGGCAGTGCCAGGAAAGGGGCACCACCTCCACCCACAGAGCAGAAGGGCATCTACGAGCAAGAAGTCACAGGAAACTAAGGAAACTTAGAATCTGCCCTGGGCACAGAGTTATCTGAGCCTGAAACACCTCCCCCCAGCCTCTCCCGCCTGGCATACCTGCTTACCCCTTGGGTCCCACTACCCCAGAAAGTCTTTAGGCACTAGATTCAAGGTGGAGGCCAAGGACATACTCATCTGTGTAAATGTCAGCAAACTCTATCTTCCCTGCCCGGTACTAGCTTGGGCTGGCAGCAGGACTGGGCCCCAGAACGGGCGACACGCACCTGTGCTTGGCCTTGATGTGCATCTGCAGGCCATTCCGACTCGAGGCCCGGTGCCCACACTCCTCACACACAAACAGCTTCTCCCCACGGTGCTTGAAAGCTTCGTGCAGCTGCAGCTCTGTCCGAGACAGGAAGCACTTGGCACAGGTGGGGCACTGCGGGCAGACCGGGCAGGCAGAGCCACCAGGGCCAGGGTGAGAGCAAGGCAGGGCTGCCTGGAATACCCACAAGTCCCCTCCCCCGAACAACAGAAAGCTCATGGCCAACACCCCACTTTGGGAACAGCTCACTCTTGCTCATGCTGAAGAAAATGTGTTTCTCAAAATGTTACTTTTCAAATGTAAAGTACATCACAAAACACATTACAAGTTAATTAAATGCTCTTTGTTCTGGCTTCTGTAAATTTGCTTCCTCCTTCAGCATCCTGCACCACCCAGGTGCATAAAAGGCACCCCATTTTCTTTGTCCTTTACAAAATTAAAAAGCAATTCCGCTAAGCCCATAATCACGTTAAATAAAATCCTCCTGCAACCCCATCAATCTCTCCAAATCTCTAATTTCCCGCTACAATGCCAGCATCAAAGCATGCCCAGCCCTGCCTATCACTTACTGCGTGGGGCTTGGGGGCTCCGTGCAGCTTGATCATGTGGCTCTGCAAGTCCTTTTTCTGCATGAACTGCTGGGAGCAGGAGGAACACTGAAAAAGAGTCCCACAGTCACCTCCAGGGCAGCCTGCACCCATGAAACCCTGCCACCAACCCTCAGGCTATAGGGCGGGAACTCAAGGGAGGCCCCCTGATCTGGTGTGAAGTATGGAGCTGGGGAGGGCCCTCAGGGCTCAGCTGCCCAGAGGATGCCGAGCCTGTCCACCATGGAAAGAAACAAGGGCCCAATAAGGATCCTAGAGGTGAGGCTGCAGCCAGCAGCCCTGCCCAGATAAAGGGGCACTGGGCAGCAGGGAAGGCAGGCTCCCTGACAGCTACCATGACGGAGGTGCCCAATACCACCCATGTAAAGGGCTCAGCAGAAGGGATCCTGGGACTACCCACCCCTGGCCCTGGAGACAGGCCAAGCCTGACCTTATAGGGCATCTCCCCTGTGTGAGACACCATGTGCACCCGCAGCTCCATCCTCCGGCGGAATGTGTCCTGGCACACGGAGCACGTGAAGACCTGGCAGTGTGAGGGGCAAGCGGGGCCAGCATCAGCGGGGGCCTCTGCCTGCAACAGCAGCCTCTGCCTGGGCTTCCACTCGCTGCTGGGAAGAGTCTGCCTGAGGGGTGGGGACACTAGGGTGGGAGAGGGCAACATGTAACCTGCCTGGCCTGACCGTCACTGAGTGCTGCAAGCCCATCGCACACCAGGCCCTTCTCAGGCCCAGACAGACTGAGGGCAGGGTCCAGGTGGCCTCACCCACAGTCCCTGGCCCCCGCAGCGGCTGACAGGCCTCTAGGAAGAGTGGGTCTGGGTTTCACCTGGCCCTGACACAGCAGCCAGCAGTGGTGGTGTGGGGAGGTGGCCAGGGGGCCTTTCCCAGCTGCCATCCTCTGTGGAGACTCCCCTTCTCCAAAGCCCAAGGTGGGTGGGCCAGGGGCCTAGGAAGGCAAATCCAAAATGCCTCCCTCCCACAAAGTCCCTCCTATGCCTGTCCCTTCCGCCCTCAGGACCTGTGTCCCCGATACCAGGGCATGGACTTGATGACATCTAAGGACCCCACAGCTTCCTGAATTTACAGTACCTCTCTCAGACAGTGTCCTGGGGCCCTTCCCAGACGGCACAAAAACAGAGAGGCCAATGTGCCTGTGCCCTGCCCACAAGTACCTGGGCCAGCTCCCAAGTACCTGTTCCGAGCGGTTCATGCAATTCCGGGCTTCATGCTCCAGGAGGTTCTCCTTCCGAAAGTAACACTTCCCACATTTGGGACACTCAAAGGGTTTCTCCCCAGTATGTTTCCTGCCAGGAGAAGCCACAGGGGTGGGGGGGCTGAGAGGGTTTCCCATCTCTCCCTCACCCAGGGCCCCCTCTGGCTCCCCTCTGAGGGGAACAGGTGTTCTGAGGTGACACCAGCTGGTTAAGGTGCAGGGGCAACCCCAGAAGTCTACCCAGCATGGAGACTCTCCACAAGGGAGAGTGCCATGGCAAGAAGCTCACACAGGTCCTAAGAGGCCGCCACGGATCTGACCAGCACAGAGGCCGATGGGAAGGCCCTGCTGACCGCATTCTGTCTGAAGGCAGAAACAGCTCCTGGGTCCTGACTACTGGCAAAGACGCATAGTCTTCCCAGAGCTTCAAACCCATGGCCAGATCTAATGGCCTCACCTGACTCCACTGTCCCACCTAGCTTGGCAACAGCTTCTCCTGGGAGACCTACAAGTCCCCCCCCCCGCCGAACAATAGAAAGCATACTGCCGGCTGCCCACTCTGGGTACAGCTCACTCTTGCTCATGCTGAAGAAAATGTGTTTCTCACCTTGCCTGCTTCACTCCCGGGGTCTCGTCTGGTCACATGGGTCAGGCATGTGCCTCCTTACAGCCTGTCACCCCGCCAGGCTCCTCCTAACCCAGAGCCCTGGCTCTTCCCTCTGCCCAGATGCTCCTCAGTCACCCACTTAGTCAACTTCCTCACCTCCTTTGAGTCTTTGCTCAAATCTCACCTTCTCAGTAAACATCCTGAGACCCTGGCTACTTAAAATCACAGTCAAATCCAACCCATTACTTCCTGACCCGTTGGCCCGCCTTTGCTTTTTCGTTTTCCACAGCACTTCCTCACCATCTACCGCAGGCAGATGGACTTATCTGTCATCTGCATTGCCCTGCAAGCAGGTGGCCTGCACAAGAGCCTTTGTTTTGTTCCCTTAAATGCATCTCTAACACCTACACAGCCTTGCTAGCCACCTGGTAGACTGCTGAATGAATGAACTAAACGAACTGGACCTCAGAGCCCCTGTGTAGCCTGTCACAGCTCCTCCCACCAGCCAGGGGCCAAGCATTTCTCTCAACCTCTGCCTCTGCAGCAACTCTCCTCAACCCCCATCAAAATGACTTCATGAAGCCATCACTCCCCAGTTCTCAGGGCCAGTCCAGCAAGCTGAAGCCCAAGAAAGGGATGGAAACTGCCCCAATCTTACCCCAGCAGAGTGCCTGATAGTGAGCATCCAGCAGCACGCAGGCTGCCCCAGGACCCCCAACACTCTGGGGTTATCCCAACATTCCACTGGCAGCAGCTGCCCCTAGCACAGTGCACAGGGACAGCAAACAGGTCTCCCCCTTGCTCCCGTTCCAGGTGATTACTAGCGTGCGGCCCAAACTGACTTGGCAAGAAAATACGCCATAATAGACTAGTGATGTCTTAGCTGGGAGTGGCAGGACTGGAAGGCAGCTCACAGGGCTGCCATCCCCACAGGCCCTGCAGGGACTCTGGAACAGTGCTGCCCAAGGGGATTCTCCACAATGATAGAAATATGCTATGTCAGCACCACCCAATTCAGCCACCAGGAGCCACGTGGTTCCTCACCACTTCAGATTTGGCTAACATGTCTAAGGAACTGAATTTTTATTTAATTTTAATTTTAAGTTAAAGTAGCCCCTGGGGGCTGTGCACAGTGGCTCATGCCTGTAATCCAGAACCTTGGGAGGTTGAGGCAGGTGGATCATGAAGTCAGGAGTTCAAGACCAGCCTGGCCAGTATGGTGAAACCCCGACTCTACTAAAAAATATAAAAAATTATCCGGGCGTGATGGTACACGCCTATAGTCTCAGCTACTTAGGAGGCTAAGGCAGGAAAATCGCTTGAACCCGGAAGGTAGAGGTTGCAGGGAGGTGAGATCGCACCACTGCACTCCCACCTTGGTGAAAGAGTGAGACTCTATCTCAAAAAAATATGTAATTTCAGTACTTTGGGAGGCCAGGGTGGGTGGATCGCTTGAGCCCAGGAGTCTGAGACCAGCCTGGGCAACACAGCAAGACCTTGTCTCTACTAAAAGTAAAAATAAAACTTTTAACAGCCCCTGGAGTTCCTGGTGACTTATTGGACACAAGCTTTACACAAATGGACTTAATGCCCCACTGACACCCCAGAGTGAACACTTCCCTGGAACACAGGTAACACTGACCCAAGGCTCAGCATTGTGGCCCAAAGCCCCGGCTGCCAGGCTTCAGAAACACCTAAGGCTAGGCCTCAGCTCTCACACAAGGGCCACAGGTCTCTCACTCTGCTGGCAGAAGCCAGCTGGAGGTCAAGGTCCACAATGGGTGGAACCTGTTGACAAGATGTTCACAAACCCATCTCCAAGCAGAGTACTCACAAGAGAGCAAGGAAGAGCCAACCCAAAGCAGACTCTAACTTTTTAATCATCAGAGGTGTGCCAAGACCAGGCACTATGTGGGTCTGAGATGGATCCCCCGGCCTCTGCCTTACCCAGGTGTGGGAAGTGCAGGACCCCTCCCCCAACATGGGAATGGTAGACAGGAAAAGAAAATAGAAAAACAGAACGTTTACCTGTTGTGGACTTTTAGATAATATTTGCTGAGGAACTTTTTATGACATGTGGGGCATTCGACTGCCGCTGTACCTTTTCTGTTCTCAGCAGGCTCAGCTGCTAGGGAGCCCGTGCTCAGGGCTGGCTCGGCTGCACAGGGCTTGAGGATTACATCTGACTTCCTCCTCGTCAGCACAGCCTCAGGCTCAGACATGTAATCGCCATCCCCGTCGTCCTCTACTTGAACCACTACTTCCCACTAGACCAAAACAGACAGCAGAAGCGGGTGGCGTCCCAAATTAATCAACAGGGGTTGTAGGGACCCAGCTTCGTTTCCATCCCAAACTCCAACCCTGCCAAGTCCCTTCATCAGGGACTGTTCCTTCAGGGGCTCAGGGCAGAGAGCATCTGAATCTTGGATTCGGAGGAATGTGGATCTGTTTGGGGGGAACTGGAAGCTCGGCTGGAAACACCACCCTGGGAAAACACCTGCAACCCTGATGCTGCCCACTTCTTTCAGGAAGGTGGCAGCCTGAGGTCACCAGCTTCCCTTGTTTGTAAAAAGCCTGTTCCAAACCCATGTTAACAGATATTGTCTTGGGATCCAGGCTTTTTTTTTTTTTTGAGATGGAGTCTCGCTCTGTTGCTCACAGTGCAGTGGCGCAACCTCAGCTCACTACAACCTCCGCCTCCCGGGTTCAAACCATTCGCCTGCCTCAGCCTCCCAAGTAACTGGGATTACAGGCGCCTGCCACCACAGCCCGGCTAGTTTTTCTTGTATTTTCAGAGAGATGTGGTTTCACCATATTGGCCAGGCTGGTCTCAAACTCCTGACCTTGTGATCTGCCCACCTCGGCTTCCCAAAGTGTTGGGATTACAGGCATGAGGCACCGCGCCTGGCTTTTTTTTTTTTTTTTTGAGACAGGGTTGCCTAGGCTGGAGGGTAGTGGCACGATATCAGCTCACTGCAACCTCTACTTCCTGGGCTCAAGTGATCCTCCCACCTCACCCTCCTGAGCAGCTAGGACAACTGGTATGTGTGTGCCACCACAGCCAGCTTTTTTTTTTTTTTTTTTTTTTTTCAGATGGAGTTTCACTCTTGTTACCCAGGCTGGAGTGCAATGGCGCGATCTCGGCTCACCGCAACCTCCGCCTCCTGGGTTCAGGCAATTCTCCTGCCTCAGCCTCCTGAGTAGCTGGGATTACAGGCACGCACCACCATGCCCAGCTAATTTTTTGTATTTTTAATAGAGACGGGGTTTCACCATGTTGACCAGGATGGTCTTGATCTCTTGACCTCGTGATCCACCCGCCTCGGCCTCCCAAAGTGCTGGGATTACAGGCATGAGCCACGGCGCCCGGCCAATTTTTTTTTTTCTTATTTTTATTTTTTTTTAAAGATGGGGTTTCACCATGATGGCCAGGCTGGTTTTGAACTCCTGACCTCAGGTGATTCACCCACCTAAGCCTCCCAAAGTGCTAGGACTACAGGCGTGAGCCACCACGCCCGGCCTAATTTTGGGCTTTTTTGATACAGATATGGTCTCACCATGTTGCCCAGGCTAGTCTGGAACTCCCAAGCTCAAGTGATCCATCCTCCTTGGCCTCCCAAAGTGCTAGGACTACAGGCGTGAGTCAGCCATCATGCACCATACGCGGCCCAGGGTCCCTATTATACCAAAAAATTGTCTATTCCCTCTATTCCCTCCCCAGACCCAGTACCCTGGGCACAGTACCTCATTATTCCTGCCCTGCAGCTGGGCACCTTCAGCCTGGAAGGGCCTTGGGGGCACTTTGCAGTCCTCCGGTTCCTTGTCCTCGGGGGGACAAGCCTTCAGGGCCTGCTCGAGTTTCCCACATAAGGAGGAGGGGCTCTCACTCTGAGCAGGGGAATGGAGCTGGGGCCTCTGAGGACTATGACTGCCTCTGGGCTCCTGATCCCTGGGGACTAGACCCAGAGTCCTCGAAACTTCCTCTTCTTCCAAGCCTGTCGGCTCCTTGATGTGGCTGTTCACATTCCGGGAGGCAGGGGGCCCCAGCCCACTCTGGCCACCTGATGCCTGTCCCACTGAAGTTTTGGGCTTGAAGCTCTGGCACAGCTCTACGGCCTCTGGCACTCGCAACTCCCTGGCTGCCAGAAGCACCTGATCCCGGTTCCCTGAGGTGAGGGCGAGGTGACCAGTGTAGAAAAAGTCCAACAAGAGGCCAAAGATCTCAGCGAAGCCAGCAGGGAGGACGACACTGCCCCCTGAGCCATCCCCGTAGAGGCTCTGGAAGAAGTGGCTGCAGCAGGCAAGGACGCTCCAGTGCGCCTTAAACACCAGGCCCCCCACGTCCAGGGTGGCGTCGCAGTACTGGCCCTTCTCCCGCTGCTTGTTGAGCTCCTGCAGAACCCTCACGCTGTGCTGGACGAAGGAGCCGTCCATGGTCTGGAGGGCAGGGAGGCAGAAGTGACTACCCTGGCCAGCCCAAGCGAGGGTATGCAAGATAAAGACCCTGGAGTCGAAAAGAGAGAAAGGGGAAGTTGTCCTCTACTCAAATAATCAAATTTATCAGCACAAGGGCTTGGGTCAGGGCGAGAGGTGCACGCGGAGGGCAGGAACACACTGAGAGCCTCCTGGGGCCAGGGGCCATATTGGATTGGCCAGGGGGGATGCTGATGGGGGTCCAGGGTCGTGAAGAGGGGCCTGGTGGGAAAAAATCAAAGTTTTGGGAAAGGAGGCACAGGATGAGCGCGAACTAACTGGCCCGGCACAGCGAGAGGATCCTGGAAAGTGGAGGGCGGCGGCCGCGGACAGGTGAGCGGAGCCCACGCCGCGCCCACAGGTCCCGAGCGGCCGAGCGGAAGGCAGCCATGGCAGCCTGCAGCCCCTCCCTCCCTCACCCCGCACCCTCCTCACCCGGGCAGGTGCTCCCTCAGCCAGCCGAGCCAGCCCCACCAGCCCCCTGCTCCGTCGCTTCCACAGCCCACGAACCAACTGCCGGGCAATGCGTGCCCCGCCGCAGTCTCCACGCCGGACGTGACGTCAGAGCGTGCCTGCCAGGAGGGGCGCCTCGGAAGCGTAGAGTTTCTAGCTCCAGCCCCTTAGGGCGGGACCCTGCAGAGAACGGCCAATGGGATGCGGGGGCGAGGCCAAACTCTGTTCTTTCGGCGCCGGGCCCGCCTCCGGAGTTGCCTAGCAACGTCAAGCTAGGCGCCCAGCCTTTTTCCAGGCTCTGGATTCAGACTTCAATAGGCGACACCTCACCCTCTCCCCCGACAGGAAACCAGATACGCATTTCACTTCTTTATTGGCAGCCCAGAGCCTGGTCTGGGCTCTCCCGGGCGCTTACACGTCCTAACACCAGACTGAGGAGCCCAAAGGCTTCCCGGACACCCGTGGCCTGCTCGACCTTCGACCCTCAGGCCTGCTGACCCACTGGTCAGGTGGAGCTGCGGCGCCTCGTGTAGTCCTGAATGGAGGCCTGGAAGTGCTCTGTGCTGTTAAGGTCTGGACGGCAGAGGATTACATAGCACTTGGGCAGAAAATACCCGCCGAAGCCACTGCTCAGACTGCTGAGCACAGCCAGCATGTTGACTGCGGGCAGGTACTTGCCGTCGTAGACGCTGGCCGTGGTGAAGAAGGCGATCCAGGACACGAAGTTGAAGAGCAGGCTGAAAGTGACACATTTGGCCTCGTTGTAGTTCTCTGGCAAGTCCTTGCCCACGTAGCTGCAGGCAAAGGCGCTGATGGAGAGGAGGCCATTGTAGAGGAAGGCCAAGATGAAGCCCAGAGAATTGGCCTCTGTGCACTCAAGCACCACCAGCTGGGGGAAGCGCTGGTATTCCCGAGTGGGCAGTGGGGTCCACACCACCAGCCAAGTTAGGCAGATAAGCAGCTGGGCAGCTGAGCTGATCATCACAAACAGGCCGGCACCGTGGTTTTGGACCCAGGCATGGTAGAATGTGGGCACCTTGGTGGAAAACTTGAAGATGATGACTAGTTGGAAGGAGCGAACTGTCAGGCAGGACAGGAAGATGGTGAAACCAAGGGCAAAGAGGGCCTGGCGCAGTAAGCATGCAGGCCACGTGGGCTCCCCAAAGAAGCCATAGAGGCTGCCACTACCTGCTGCTAGGGAGCCCAGCATCAGAAAGCACAGCTGGCCCCCTGCTGACCTCACCACAGGTGTGTCTAGGTGCCAGGCAAACAGGCCAGCAGTCCCAAGCAGCAGCAGCAGCAACAGCGTGTTCGCTGCCAGCAGCACCCAAGAGGTGTGCTCATGCCAAGCCAAAAACACCACAGTTCGTGGGAAGCAGGTCTGGCTTCCGTCGGGTGCCCATTCTTCTTTCCCACAAGGCTGGCATCTGTAGAGGTCTGAAAGGGAAGGCCAAGAGGGTTCCTGAGAGCCAAATAAGCAGAGTAGGAATAGGGAATAGGGGCCTGCAAGATGCAGGGAGAATTGTTTCAGGGCAGCTAGGCTATGCTAGGCATAGTGGGACGGAGGTGGCCAGGAGTGGGGCCTGAGGCCAGGCATCTCCTCAAAATGCCTGTGTTAATTACAGACTCTGGAAACACCCAGGTCAGTTCTACATGGCTCATGGTCCCATGACGGTTTTGCAAACCCTAGGGTGGACCTTACCCTGGTAGCTCTGCCCGCATATCAGAGAGGCTACGATCCAATGGGAGCAGCCTGCTGCAAAGGGAGGACATTTTAATTTCTCTCTCTCCAGGACTTCCATGAACCACTTTCCTGAGCTGCTGCTCTGTGGTTCTCTGAGTCCTGACCCTCTGAGAACAGCAGGGAAGTATTCCTATCCCTACAGAGATGCTGAAAGGAAAGAATATGTCTCCTGGACACCAACTAAGGACGTGAGTCCTTAGCTATCTAATTTGCTCTCTGTTCTTGAGTTTTCATTGCTGGATGGGGAATGCTGTTTTTTGCTCTGCTGCAGACATGCTAGTATCTGGATCCAGGTCAAGCTGTTCAAGGAGCTAGCTGTCTTTGGCATGGGCAACAGAAGGGACAGTAGCATAAGAGGGTACAAAGGGAACAATAGTTACATTCATTTAGAGAAAGACGTTGAATTCAGGATACAATTGCATTTGTAGGAGTTGTGATGACAGCTCTCTAATAGAGGACACACCTCAGTCTAAGGTTTTCATTTGGCCTAATTCTTTCTTTTTTTTTTTTTTCGAGATGGAGTCACTCTGTCACCCAGGCTGGAGTGCAGTGGCCCAGTGTTGGCTCACCACAACCTGCAACCGCCCAGATTCAAGAGATTCTCCTGCCTCAGACTCCCCAGTAGCTGGGATTACAGGCGCCCACCACCACACCTGGCTAATTTTTGTGTTTTTAGTAGAGACAGGGTTTCACCGTGTTGGCCAGGCAGGAACTTCTGACCTCAAGTGATCCGACCACCTCAGCCGCCCAAAGTGCTGGGATTACAGGCATGAGCCACTGCGCCCAGCTTTTTTTTTCTTTGAGATGAAGTCTTGATCTGTCGCCCAGGCTGGCACGATTTAGACTCATTGCAACCTCCTCCTCCCAGGTTCAAGCGATCCTCCTGCCTCAGCTCCCAAGTAGCTGGGATTACAGGCTTGTGCCACCACACCCAGCTAATTTTTTATATTTTTGGTAGATATGGGGTTTTACCATGTTAGCCAGGTTGGTCTCAAACTCCTAACATCAAGCGATCCTCCCGCCTCGGCCTCCCAAAGTACTGGGATTACAGGCATGAGCCACTGCACCCAACAGCCAATTCTTTCTCTTAATCAGAATTCTGTCTGGTGAAAGGTGTCCTCCAACCTGAAGCTAACTGGCAACCCAGTGACTGGGGCCCTGGTTCTCGGGCAGGGCATGTGCACATGGGGCCCAAGGGAGGGTCTTCCATCCATCCTTTGGCCTCTGGCAGTACTGGGTAGTTCGCCTGCTCCTTTGCTCACTCACCACTCGTGTTGAGGAAGGTCCCAGCCTCACAGGGCACACACTCAAAGCAACAGTGATGGAAACCCATAACCACTCGCTGGTGCCCTTCAAGACAGTCACTGGAACACACAGACTTAGGCACCTGTAAGAAGCCAGAGGGTCCACATATAGGGGCTCAAGTCAAAAGACAGCTCACAGGTGGAACAGAAAACAGAATCTCTGTGCATCTGCCCTCAGGGCCTCACCCCTAGGGGAGGGTCCCTGTTTGTGTGAACTCCCACCGCAGGGCATCTGCATGCTAGCTCTCATGGAGTGTCTTCTCTGCTTCCCTGGCCAGGATGGGTAGAGTGGTGGCAGCTGGACCCCTGGAGTCCCCCTCCTAATCCCTGTACACTGTGTCAGCATCACCTCCAGGCTCTAGGCTGCCCATAAGGCAGTCGCCTGGTGAGTGACCACATCCCCATTACCTGGTTGTCCTTTCCGTGCCACTGGATTTTGGTCTCATTTATGTCTAGCCGAACTGGAGACCACGTGGAGGAGCCAACAACCGTGAAGGTCCACTTGGGCCCATTCCACTCCCAGGCAATTATGTTATAGCTACTGAGGGGATTTCCGTTGTCATTAAACATCACAGTGTCCCCATGTAGAAGGAAATTCACCTTCTGGATCTGCTCCAAAAGCTGAAAGAAACACATAATTTATCATGAAGCCACGGTAGACAGCGCAGACCCACATGGTCCCAGAAGCAAGGGCCTAGGGCCTTCCTGGGTTTCCATACTGGTGGTTTCAGCCCATCAGGAAGGTCGAGTCCCTTCCTCAGAGCTCCCTTCCTTTTTAGGAAGCCCCTCAACCCTCCCCACCAACTTCCTGACAGGAGGCCTCTAACAAAGGGCTTCTTTCCAGACAGTTTTGGCCCTTAACACTTCCAAACCACAGTGGGTGAGAGAAGGCAAGGATCAGAGGAAAGGATCAGTCTAAGAGAAGAGAGCAGCCGGGTGTGGTGGCTCACACCTGTAATCCCAGCACTTTGGGAGGCTGAAGCGGGCAGATCAGTTGATGCCAGGAGTTCGTGACCAGCCTGGCCAAGAAACCTCGTCTCTGCTAAAAACACAAAAATGAACCAGGTGTGGTGGTGTGTGCCTGTAATCCCAGCTAGTCAGGAGGCCAAGACAGGATAAGCACTTGAACCCAGGAGGTGGAAGTTACAGTAAGCCGAGACCACATTGCTGCACTCCAGCCTGGGCGACAGAGCGAGACTCCATCAAAAAAAAAAAAAAAAAAAAAGCAGTCCTCAAGTTACTGGCATTTATCCCCCTGGGCATTTAGGGTGGTCAGAGAGTGCCCACTCTGCTCGTCTCAGGATTGGCAGTTCTTTCTGATACAGGGTATTGGGGGTAGGTGCTCTTACCTGCCAGGGGTAGACTTGGTCCCTGGAACAAGCTCCAGAAGCACAGCCCAGGAGCTGGTGGAGGCCATGGGCCACCGCATACACAGCCTGGTATGCGTTGTAGGCAGCACTCATGGAGAAGGCTGTGAGCCTGGGCATTCTATGTGCTGTGAAAGCTTGGCATTCTCTGCAGAGCTGATTGCTGTTGCACCAAGAGCCCTTGGGGCAAGGCCTAGGGGCCCCCTTGTCTGCCGAGGCATAGGCTTCTTCAAACGCCTTCAGGCCAGGGATGGTCTTCTGCTGGATGGCCACACCCAGCACCGTCCCAATGTGCCGGATCCCGGGCACCCTGGAGATGTAAGTGGAGATGGCCCAGTCTTCTGAGGCGATCCACACCTTGCCAGTCAGGTTGGCCAGCACCACAGACTCGAAGAACACCCTGGCCAGCTGCCGGCTGGAAAAAACCACCACGACGGTGGCCCTGGCCCGGGCCAGGTGGTGCATCATGTCCTGCATCCTCTCATCGCCCGCCCGGGCAGAGAAGGGCACGATGTCCTTGAAAGCAATGCAGATGCCCTGAACAGTGGCCTGGTCCTCCAGTGCCTGCACCCCCAGCTGGCCATAGTCGCCACTGCTGCCAACGAGAGAGATCCAGGTCCACCCGAATCTCTGCAGCAGCAGCACCATGGTCTCCACCTGGTACTTGTCGCTGGGGACGGTGCGCAGGAAAGAAGGATACTGCTGCTTCATGCTGAGCGTCATGCTGCTGGCCGCATAGCTGATCTGTGGGAGGTCCCATTCAGCCAGTTCAGTGGCATCAATCTCCACTGAAGGCCCCCCAGTGACTGGTCCTATGCTGGGTGTGGGGATACAGGGAGGGGGGAGACCAGGAGAGCACCACTCACCCTGTGAAACTTACAGATCACCTGCGAAGGCTCCACAGGGGTGGGTTCTGGGGGAGGAATGGGAATCTGCCCCAGGATAAAGGATTAGGAAACGAATTTTTTTTTTTTTTTTTTTT